AGTTAGTACCAACGTTAGCGGATGGGCCGCTCCATAGCTCAAGCGGTTAGTCCCTAGCTTCCCACCGCGGCAGCCCGGGTTCGATCCCGGGTGTCCGGTCAAGTGGGATTTGTGGCGAACAAAGTAGCGCTGGGACAGGTTTTCTCCGAGTACTTCGGTTTCCCCTGCCAATCTTCATCCCACCAATGGCTCCACAATCACCCTCACCTATCATCTGTGGCTGGTACAATAGGCCAGAAGTGGCCGCAGTAAAAGGGATTTAGTCCCACCCCACTAGCAATAAAAGAAAAACCTTTGCGGTTAGAGGGTGTCGCGTGGTAAGCGCAACGAAACCCACGGCCGTTAATTTCGGTTTTCTAGACCGGAGCCGCTAGTTCTCATTCAAGTAGCTCCTCAATTATTCTCACGAGGCTGAGTGGACCCCGTTCCAGACCTACTACTTCTCAGAAAACCTGGTAGCCCCGGGAATCGAACCCGGAACCTCTGGAGCTGTATGCAGGAACTCTGACCGCTAGACCACAGAGGCGTAGTAATAAATTTAGAGCGAAAAATCTCAGTTGATGTGAATTATATATTTTGTAATATTTCTCCGTGATCCTTTAACATTATCACGATTTATTCCTACTGAAAGAAAAACTGTCAAAAATTATGACCTAATCAATTATAAAATTGGCGAATTAGAATCTGTGTAAACAAATATACAAACTACAGCATGAGTATTTCATATGGCCGCGCCACAGCTTAAGCGGTTAGTTGCTGGCTTCCCACCGCGGTGGCCCGGTTTCGATCCCCAATCTGGTGAAGTGGGATTTGTGGTGGACAAAGTGACGCAGGGGCAGGTTCCCTCCCAGTACTTCGGTTTCCCCTGCCAATCTTCATTCCGCCAAATTCTCCATCATCATAATCACCCGGGGTAGGCTACAATAGGGCAATAAGTGGCCGCTGTGCCGAGTAGACCCAGTTGGACTCCACTCCCCACTAAGGGAATTTAAAAAAAAATGTATTTTATAAGTCGTTGTTTTTGCCGATTTTGGGAACGTGTAACTTTGGTTAAAATAGTTAGGTTAAATATTAAAACGAATAATTATGTTGCAATTTATCCATTCTGTCAAAAATTAAGGGCTCTATATAAACCCGCACAGAAAGATTTGCAATATCTTCTGCGTATTCGGTTTAACATTTCCGTTGGCAAGAAGAGAAAAGCTGAAAATAGCTTTCCAAATTATTAGCCAAAGACAAGGTCACTATCCCCAGTTGGTAACTGGGTTAATTTTCAAATTTAGGTCATTTATTTGTTTGTGATATATTTAACGCCGCTGCCAGTGGCTCAGATTACCATCACGTCATAGGTTAGCTATGAATTATAAAGTAGGTGTGAGGAACCGGTCGCTCCTTCATTTGAGGTATCCTGGCATTTTCTTGAAATGTCTCAAGAAAACCAACCAAACCCTCAGTACGATAGCTTCTTTGTCCAGCAGAGATCTGAAATCTGGCCCTTTCGTATAATAAACTATATTTACAACCACTCGATTTCAAAATTAAGAACAACTTTTGTAAATCAGAAGCGTCTCTATGGTCTATTGGTCAGAGTTCATGGCTACAGATCCCGAGGCCCGGGTTCGATTCCCGGCTCTACCACATTTTTCTGAGAAGTAGTGTGTCTAGAACGGGGTTCACTCAGCTTCGCGAAGATAAGAGGAGCTATTTCAAGGAAATAGCGGCTCCGGTATAGAAAACCGAGATTAACCGCTATGGGGATCCATTGCGCTGATCACGCTACACCCTCTATCCGCAAAAGTTGGCACTAACTTCGCGACAAGCGGCGGTCGCTCAGTCAGTATAGTTCGCTTGCGGACTACAGACCACGGAGTTTGTTTTGTTCGTAAATCAGTCTGAACCTGCAGACCTGGCCATGAACTCTGATGTTTCCCCCTCCCTTCCCTCTGGGCCACGTAAAGAGAGCGAGTGTCTGCAGCTGAAAAGCGATGTCATTTCAATGCGAGGAAATATATTTTAATGGAATATAAGTACACGTGTTTTGTGAGAAAAAGAATCGCGCACTTTTATAATAAGTGTACTTGATGTAAAAGGGACTCATAGAGCAGTTTTTCAAAGTTCTAGTCGAGCTTCCCAAGATGGCCGAAGTTCCTACTGCTCTAATTGTTACACATATAAATGAGTAACGAAAGGACACAAGAAATGACTGGTAGATAAGTACGTCACATCTTAGGATACTCGTAATTTGAAGAGACTGTAGGAACTCAAACGCTTTTATTCACATGAGGGCAACCTCAGATTAAAATAGTTGGAAGCCACTGTCAAGGATGACCGTAATTATTGATCCAGCCAGCGTAACACAGCAACGTGCTTGTGAATAACATTACTGCCCTTTGCAGCCTTCACTTGCGATGAATTTCTCATAATCATTTAAACATTAGACATTCTCTGAAAAAAAATAAATTTTCTTTATTTAATATTTAATGATACAAGGAGGTAATTTTGATTTGCCTAAACGAAAATTGCATTCAGCATCTCCAAGCTGGACTAACTCAGTAGTCGCCTGTATGCCAGATCACTCTCTTAAAAAAAAAGGCTTAACATTCATTCAAACGTTAAAAATATTATAATATTCATTATATTTTTTTACACAAAGTAGGTCAATATTTCTACAATTTAGAACCTTATGCTGAGATTATGAACCCATTGACACCGTCTAGAATTTACAACATATATCGTCATCTCTCTCTCTTATTGTAGTTATTAAGATTTATTATTAATTAGTTTTATTTTTTATTTTCTTATTCGTATAGTGGGTCCACTCTACAAGTCACCCACTCTTTGGCCTATTGTACCTGCCCCAAGCAATTATGATGATGGAGAATTTCGTGGAATAAAGATTGGTAGAGGAAACCGAAGTACTCGGAGAATACCTGCTCCAGCGCCACTTTGTACACCACAAATCCCACTTAACCAGAACCGGGCTCGAACCCGGGCCGCCGCGGTGGAAGTCAGAGACTAACCGCTTCAGCTATGGCGTGGCCTATAATGAATTAATTAATCTGTTAATTAATTAGTTAATACAATAAATTCTGTCACTTCCTGGAACCGGAAATGTTTTCAATGTGTACAGTAAAAGAGAAGGCGAAAATATCCGAGGGTATTCCCCGCTCCTCATGTGAAAAAGGTACGTAAAAGAAAGTACAGCATTTTCATGTCAAGGGTTGTATTTGCTGTTTGATATTTATTTTGTTAAGTTATATTTTTATATTATGTTCCCATTGGTTTATTGATTTTAATTTTAATTCGAAATTGGATTCGGTTTCTATTGCATTTCTTTACAGTGTCTGGACCAACAGAGACAAGAATATTGGTAAAATTAATTAGGATTATATTCGTGGCACATGTTATATAAAACTGATATTTGAATAATTACCTTAAACCTGTATAAGCAGACATGTTTAAATATTTAACTTAACTTTTAAGGATTTAAATTTCGTTCCAAGCGATAATAAATAATATGATCTAAATTTTTTATTGTAGTATAAAGAACATATGAATGACAAAGATTGTATTCTCTTTTCAAAATATTCGTTATCAATTTTCCCTTAAATGATCTTATATTTTGCTGTTCAAAGTAAGGGTCTGTATTTAAAATAAATTTCGGATGCTCTTTGAGAGAGACCTTCGTTTTCTATGAATTGATTTTGTATTTCGAAATTCAGTATCACAATTTATGTTCCATACCTGCCACAATTTAACAATATTTGCAGTTATATAAGGCAGGTCTGGCCGGTCACGGTAGCCATGCGGTCTAAGGCATGTATTGTCTTCGCTCGCTTGGAAACCGGGATCGTGGGTTCGAATCCCACGCAGGGCATGGATGTTTAGTTTGTGTATGTGCGTTTTTCTGTGTTTGTGTACAGGTAGAGACCTTGCGACGAGCTGATCACCCGCGCAAGGAGTCCTACCGAATGTGTAAGATCTAGAAAAACCGAAGTGAACGGAGAAGTTCATGGAGGTAGGCCTAGGCCCACTGGGGCTGTGGTGCCAAGGAAAAAAATATAAGGCAGGTCTATAGTTTGAAATGCTTCTTTTATATTTCAACGAAATAACAATTTTTACAAGCAGTCTGAATTTTTCTAATCGATCATGCCAAATAATATGATTTCCCCTATAACTACTAAATATTGATAAACTGACGTTATATTACCAAAATAATACCTTACATTAGATTGCCTCTTACAAGCTTTTCGTTCTATACTCGGTTATAGCAACTACTGGACACACTTGCATGTGTGGACTGTTTAAAACTTCATGTTCCCGGAGTACGAAAGTAATTTCCAGAAATGTCGTATTTCTATAATATTTTTAAACTTTTCAGATTTTGAGTACAGTTTCTACTGTTGGTTTCTAAAGATGACATGTAACACCCAGGATTACTGGGTTCTTGGACCTTGTCCATCGTCCGGTGTTATAAAAAACAAAAAATAGCACTAAGTTTCGGAAAATGGATCTCTTTCCGTCCTCAAGTGAGGGGTGGGAAGACTGACTGAGGTTAGCTCTTTCTAACGGAACCGCGTCCCCCACCACTTCATCTGAGGATAGGAGCATATCAATTTTCCGAAAATTTGTGTTATTTTGTGGTTTCCAAAAACACCAGACGGTGGACAAAGCCCAAACCCCCAGTACTCCTGAATTGGTATTGCAGCTAGTCGCAATGTATAACCAAATACCCTAGTGATCTCACTGACTGCACATTTCTGAAATAAATTAGGACTTATCGAAATGAAATATAATTTACAGCCTACAGCAAATTAGACATTAAAATTTTCGGTCTCAGCTTATTGTGCAAAAATTAGTAATTATCATCACATGTAACTGAACATTTCACTTTGTTGGTGGTAATCACCTTGCGGATATGATATTCGCAAGAAATATGTTATTAATATGACTTTTGTAAAGAAATAGCTCTCCATGTTACAGCATTGTTATTTTCACAGGAAACAAAACGACCCTCGAAGGAAATGCAAGTGACCATCGCGCGGCAGCTGGGCTTGGAACCCACAACAGTAGGAAACTTCTTTATGAACGCGCGGCGTCGCTCCATGGACAAATGGAAAGATGAAGACCCGAACAAAACGACAGTAGTACCAAATGAACCACAAGAACATTCCCCTGGCACTGCCAGTGTTGTCACTGGTCACGGACAAGCACTCTCACAACAGCAGCAACAACAGCAACAACAGCAGCAGCAGCAACAACAGCAACAACAGCAACAACAACAGCAACAGCAATCCCAACAGCAACAACAGTCTGACGTATTGTGACACCATGCAAGCTACCCCATGCGAGAACAACAGCACCATCATTTGGTGTTTCTGTGAGAACAACTGTGTCAGCCGACAAAATGGCGGCACAGCAGTGCAGATCTGGTACTGGTAATTCGCTTCACATGGGGGATGGTAAATAGCATCTGTGTTGTGTTGTGGGACAGATATTTTATGAATAAACTATGCTCTTAGCAATTTTGATATTGATCGACATTCATGTTGCGAAATTACATAAACGGCCCCACCCTCTTCTAGTATACAGGGGGTTAACCTAGACGTTTCATGACAATTAGTGAGAGTTGTTCGCATTTCTAGCGGACAGAAGTGGTGGGCGGGGGGAGGGGGGACGTTAGGAGGCCAGACTCCCTCATCCCGTGGCAGAGACCGTGTTCTCGAGAAACAGAGCCACAATAAACGAGTATGATATCGGATCATCCTCGGGACATGAAGCCGACACAAAATTATGTAAAAAGTTTTAATTTCTACCCGTGGAGAGAGATCCGTGACCAGCTGTCGGTTTCCATACACAACTTTGATGATGGAGAAGTTTTGTTTCTTGGAGGTAAAAGAAAAACTTAGCGATGTTGGAGTACGGATAAAATCCGAGTTTCCTCCGAAGCAGATGTTTGTTTAGACAAGTAAATAAAATAACTTTGATCTCAGGGGTTTGAATGCAAATTTGGCAGTCAGTGGAGGGAGACATGTCCCACTGTCTCTAGAAGAAGAGGATCTTTGTTTTAGCCTCCAGGAACCAACACTGAGGTATTATTAGGGGAGTTAACTTAGCTTGAGTGTATGTTAAGCAGTGGTGGTAGCAGGGGACTAGGTATATTTTGTAATACCTATATTCTTGACCAATTGAACGCGCCACGATCTCAGCTTTGAATCATGTTCAAATGGTAGTCTAGTCAATACAAAAAGTCTTTCTTATTTATATTCTAGTCTTAATTTCTTTTGCTGTGTTCATGTTAAACAAAGTAGGTTCCTTCCCCTGAGGTTAAGTTCGTTGTGATATGTTATATATTAGCTCTAGTCTCAGCATTGCGCTCGCTGATGGAAAGTGTAACATTCCAACCAAGAGTATTATTATGTTCACATGATATAATTTGTTTTTTGTTTTTTCACGATTTCCTTTAAGTCTTTGCTCACTTGTGCTACGAACCGGCTGGAGGGGCGCGTCATAAAGTCCTAACTACGTTTCCGAGCAATAGCCAGCCTTTCTTGTGTGTTGCTGTTTGTCTTTGGTGTTTAGTGACCCTGCACTCCCAGTTATCTTGTTATATATTGTACCTCATACTTCTTTACTTAACATTCCATACAACTGGAGATATCTTCTTTCGATAATTATTTTTTTTCTTATTTATTTTGTTATTTAACTTATTGATGTACAGTAATTTATTTGTATTTATTGATTTATGCGTGGCACATGAAGCAAGGTTTGGCTGCACCAACACGACGGTAGCAGAATATCTATTAGCCATGTTGCTAGGCGTGTGATTGCTTTTGGATTGACGAATATCTTGTTCTCTTCTCCTGTGTTTCTAGATTAGCGCGAGTTCTTTTCTAGGTTGTATATATATATAACAGTGTCGGGTGGACGGGCACTGTTTTCACCATCTTGACTACTTCCCAATGACTTGCTCTGAATGGACTACATCTCTTGCAATATTTCGAAGGACTAGATCATGATTTCTGAGTCAAGCTAGTGATTTGTCTACTAGATATGCACAGATTTTTACATTTTTATAGCGTACTTCATTTGTAGCAGAATAACTATACTCTTCTTTTCTACTTATTACCAAAGAGCTCAATGTTGAATAAAATCTGTAAAGTAAACCAATGATTTTTGATTCATTATTGTCTTTTGTTGAACTTTGTTCTACCTTGTAGGCCTAGGCACTGGTGCCACTTGGCGGACCAAAGAGCTAAATCCATTCTGTTTAGCTGTTCCTTATAACATTCAACCAAGAGTTACTGAGTAATTGTGTTAACTAACTTAGTAACGTACTATGTTAATGAGTGCACAAGCGGTTCCTACAGTGGCAAGCACCGAAAGCAGTGAAGTTGCGAGTTCTACTCGCCAGTCAGTTCCACAATACTCGAGACAAGAAGCCAGACTTCCGGTTCTTGCCATGTGCATTAAGTCTGTACTGTGCAATAATTCTATTGAGTTTTGGTGTGAATTGTATCTTGATAACATATCATTGTGAATTTTTGTATATGTTAAGGTAAGATGCCGAAATTTTCCTTTGGGCTTTGTCGATAAGACCCTGTCATTCATGAAATGAATATGGAATGACTCCCAAGGTGAAGTTGGCAGCATCTTATAGATCACATCGGCTCTCATGAAGTGCATATTGCATTTCTGAGAGTATTTAGTCATTAAGTGATACATTCCATTTAGTGACACGAAGTTGTGGAAGAAACAGGTACAAGTGCAGACTGTGTTTTAGGAAGAGAATTTCTTCAACCTAAACAATAAACCTAATAATCATTATTATTATGGTTATTATTACAAACTCCACTTTAAAACTATCGGAGCAGTCATTGTGATGACACATATATTTATAAACTGTAATGAGACAAATAATATTGTTTAGTAACTCTCGGTGGGAGGTAAATCTCTGGAGACTGCAGATGTTCGATTGAGTCTGATGCAGCCGTTATGCAAGCAGCCCTCCACCCTTGTAGGTTGAATTGATAGATCGTGCACAAAATGAAACAGAATAAGACGAATATCACAATATTAATGCAAACAAGCCCACTCTGTATACTGGCTTCTGCAACGATACGAACTGTGGAAGCCAGCCGACAGAGTGCAGTGCGTCTGTGATCTTGGATATTTCGGGAGAGCAGATGAGTAAGCATTTCAACTCCTACGACCCCTAGTCGAACGGAACACAAAGTTAAGTCTTGAAAGGCAATCAATAATTTATTTGTGTATAATAAGAAGAAATGTGATGGGAGTTGGGGTTGAATGCTACTCGCCTGCTGAACTAGGCACTGTATCACTTTGCTATCTGCGTCTGACATCACACCTGTAAAATACATTTCGTTGTGACAGTGAATAGAACCATAGCGTTAATCAATAGCAACTTCTGTGTATTCATTGTTGCATGCCTCTCCCAGTCCTGTTTCTTACATGCAATTCTAGTCAGCTGTTGAAAACTCAGTTGATTCCTTTTAACTGGAGGTAAACATTCTGCAGTTCGATGGGTAAGTCCAGTTACCCACTTTTCTGAACAATGATTAATTTAAAATATTTTTAAGAGTTCTAAGCCGAGTAGTTCAGCAAAATATACAAGTTTCAGAGCAACATATTACCAACATTTCGGGGTATAAGTTTAAGTCAAGCAACAAACCAGCAGTAAACAGGCGACAGTGAATTAATGGATGAATGAATGTACAAGGGGTGGCCCCCCTGGTCCTTGCACCGCGACCACAGTGATCTATTTTGCCTCCCCTCTGATTACCCCTCAACAATCCTGCGCTTCGAATGAAATGTAGGATTTTGTAGGTGGGGACGTCGAAATAGTCACTTGGTTCCATAAAATATTGGCCAAAGTTAAACAAGCTAAGGCCTCACATTCGCACAGGACGTGTGTGGCTGTTTCATTTTCTTCTTGACACCTCTCACAAGTGGGACTGTTACTTAGTCCCAATTTGAAGAGGTGTCCTTTAAGGTAACAGTGTCCTGTAAGTAGTCCCACCACCCATTATAGCTGGTTCCTGTTTAACTTCAACAGTTCCTTCGCTCTTTTAGCAGAGGGTCCTCGTATGAGTCCCTTTGCTTGCCTGAGTCCAGTTAAGGATCCTCAGTATTTCTTAGGCAGCCTACAAACTTTGTCTCAAATTCAGCTTTCCCTCAAACCTTTCCTCAGTTGTACGACTCACGGGTTCCAAAACATGGCTCTGTAAATTAAAAACAAAGTGATTTATATGCATATTTTGTTTCCAAATTTTTGTGATGTTTTTGTGCCTGAATCCCACCATCCTTAATGCCAACAGGCTTGTGAATTTTAAACGTGGGTACCAGATTGCTGTAGTGATGCCGTAGTTGTAGATCAAAGAAATTTAATCATGTAGATAAATACAACCCAGTTCTCAGACACCCAGTAAACCTCTCCACTGCCCAAGAGAAAAGCATGAACACTGCCAGGCCATAACTCAGGCGGTTAGCCGCCGGCTTCCCACAGGGGCGGTCTGGTTTCGAGCCCAGTTCATGTTGGATTTATTGTGGATTAAGTGGCACCGGGACAGGTTTCCTCTTAGTACTTCGGTTTCCCCTGTTAATTCTCATTCCACCGACTGTTCCACGTTCGCCCTCACCTATCATCCGGGGCTGGTACAATACGCCGGTACCGACGTACAAAGTGGACTCAGCCCCGCCTGATCTAAAGAAAGTAAATGAAAACTGTGAACAGAGTTATAACTTTCCATATTGCACTGCATAAGTGTAAAACTTGGTACCCTGCTTTGAGGAAAGCAGAGAGAGGGTCTGAGAAGAGAGTGCAGAGCATTAGTAGGAATGAGGGTGTTTGAGAACAGGGTGCTGAGAATATTTGGACCGCAGAGAGATGAAGTGACAGGAGGTTGGAGAAAACTGCATAACGAGGAGCTTCATAACTTGTACTCTTCTCCAAGTATAATTAAAATGATCAAATCAAGGAGGATGAGGTGGGCGGGGCATGTAGCACGAATGATGGCGAAGAGGAATGCATATAGGATATCGGTTGGAATGCCAGAAGGTAAGAGACCACTAGGAAGACGAAGGCGTAGGTGGGTGGACAATAATAAATTGGATCTTAGAGAGATAGGATGGGGTGGTATGGATTGGATTGATCAGGCTCAGGATAGGGACCAGTGGAGGGCTCTTGTGAACACAGTAATTAACCTTCGAGTTCCATAAAATCCTAGGAAGTTCTTGAGTATCTGCACAATTGGCAGCTTCTCAAGAAGGGCTCAGCTCCATGAGTTAGTGAGGCTACTGGTCCGTGGTGATCTCTTGTGAACATAATAGTGAATTATCAGTCTTCGCAAGAGGCAAGCAATTTCATGCCTATGTGAGTGACCATCAGATTTTCAAGAACGACTCCTGGGAGTCTTTCCACACACACACACACTACACAGGTTTTTCTCTGCTAAATATTTTAAGACTACAACTTTGTCCAATATGTCTTAAACGGAACGACAAATATTCATCAGGATCTGAGGTCAAAACTTTGGTTTTAGAAATGCCGCACCAGGGGTATATAAGTGCAAAATCATCAGCTAAACACATTCAGCCTTCTGAAGACAAAGAGAACTAATTTCAAAATTCTCATGCAACGTGATCTGACAAAGTTTCTCTTTGTATTATCTCAGCTGCAATTTTTTCTTTTTTATTTTCTTCAAATGAAAATCACTCAAGTTTTCAAGTTGCTACATAAATAGTGAGTATACGAATTATGGTTACCGTGAATAAAAAATAGCTCACCTTAATTCTCTGTTGATTTTGAATGTCATTCGATTGAAATTAAGCTCCATTCTATTTGATGTTCACGATATAAAATAATGTATACAACAGTGACTGGATTATTGCTATAACCATTCTCATGGTGTTGTGTAGTTGTGTTGTCGCTTGTTATTATTGTCAGAGTTCTCCCCTACACCTGTTTTCCAGAATTTATCTCTGTCCATGGGTGTCTGTGACGCTTGACTGGTGAATACACGAAATAACTAATTTTGTAAGATTGAGTTTCCCACCAATATGATAATGAATATCATTATGTGATGTCTTGTTGCCTAGTAGCAGCTTATTGATGTTTCGGAGGAATGTGTTGTGTCCGTCTACAGGACCAAAGTAGACAAACAAGGAAGAGAAATGTGAGCAGCATAAAAAGTAATACATTTGGATAGAGGCTTCTATTTTTTTCTTATTATTTCTGGTGGTTGTCTGCTAGTTCTTCAGATAATGCGGTCCGCTTTAGGAATTCCTTATCTTTGCTCTCCCTGTCCCCCCCAATTGGTCCACTCTGACCCTCTTATCTTTGCTCTCCGTGTCTCCCCCAGTTGGTCCACTCTGGCCCTCTTATCTTTGCTCTCCGTGTCCCTCCATTTGGTCCACTCTGGCCCTCTTATCTTTGCTCTCCGTGTCCCTCCCAATTGGTCCACTCTGGCTCTCTTATCTTTGCTCTCCGTGTCCCTCCATTTGGTCCAATTTGGCCCTCTTATCTTTGCTTTCCGTGTCCCTCCATTTGGTTCAATTTGGCCCTCTTATCTTTGCTCTCCGTGTCCCTCCAATTGGTCCACTTTGGCCTTCTGTCCTGATCTTCATTCATCCGATATTTTCCCACTGATCGTTCACTTGTCTTGCTGCTTGCTTGTTTCCTTTCTTAAGTCTTCGACATTGAAAACTGATGCAGTACGTTCCCCTGAAATGTAGCTAAATATATGTAAGGCTGCAGGGCGTCACAGTCCAGAAGATAATACTCTTCAATTAATTTCGACTGGAAAACCTTACGGGTGCCTGACACCTGATGTGGTTTTGTTTCCATTCTCAAAGTTTCAAACCTTTTGAGGCCAGAAATGGAATTCCAGTTTCGTGGGAAGTGAGGATGGTGCTGCTTGGTCACTGAACTATATGGATCATAGTCAATTTTGGAAAACTAACAGCCTTTAAGCTCTTCAAGAAATTACACTCCTTTAGTAGAATCCTAGGATAATTCTCATATTCCCAAGATCTCGTCACTGGTCCCTAGCATGTGTCAGATGAATCAGTTCTGTATTCTCGTATGCTGTTTCTTTAAGATTAAATATATTATACACCCACCTACGCCAAATTACTCCTCCCCCCTCCAAATAGTTTCTTCACTCAGATTTTCCAACTAAAATTCTTCATGAATTTCTCATACATCCTCCCATGTTCAAATAGGCAACATGTGCCTTCCTCCTCCATGTTACTTTATTGCATGATCCAAACAATGTCTGGTGGTGGTATAAATTATGAAGTTTCTCACTACGCAATTTTCTCCGGCCTCCTGTCACTTCGTCAGCACTCTATTCTCAAGACACCCTCAATGTAAGGGACCAAATTTCACATATACACAAAACAGCCTGTTTGTTTATTCTTATTTACTTATTTTCATGCATATGTACATAAATACATACATACATACATACCTTACGTACTTTCACAATTAATTCACTTACACCAGCCTGGTAAGAAAGTAAAACTATTCCTGTAACAGACCCTGAAGACCCATAGGGTTGTGAGACGTCGAGGCTCCCACATTATCTAGATAATCGGCCCAAAGATGGCGGTAAGGTTGTCAGCCTTACGCGCCGGCCGCGCTTTACTTTCTAGGAAAATTATTTAATTAATTCCTGGTACTTATTTCTGTTAGAGGCTTAGTCGACCCCAGGACCATAGTGCTGCTGGAAGGATTAGGTCAATTGAAAAAAATTCAATGACCTCATCGGGACTTGAACTCGCGACCTTTCGGCTTGTAGCATAGCCCCTCAACCGACTATGCTACCGCGTGCCTCCACACTAGCCTGGTATTCTACATAAAATTCGGAATTCCTGTAATCGGCAGATTGTGAATTAATGGCAATATTTAACCAGTTACTTGTATTAATAGACTGTAAATTCTGGGAAAAATGTATGCCATTTTATTGACAATATTAACTTCCTTCTTTGATGTTGGTTAAACATTGTAATATTAAATAAAAGCATTTGTTTAAATCTTTAAATGAGATTAATATCTCTTACTTATCTAACCACTGCAAATTGTGGTGATAATTTGTGAAATATTACGGTAGTATTACTATCAGTATGAAACTGTGGAATCATTTCTCTTAATTTGTTTAGTATATAGGTCTATATATTTTCTTCGTTTCACAATTAATTTGGTGTCACTTACTCAACTAAATAGCACAAAATGAGAGGACGATCATGAAAAGTAAATTGAAAAAAAAAACAGTTGTGTTTTGCTTTAAGTTATTATTTTCAGATTATATATATTATTTGCTTAAAACCGGAGACAGGATAGCTCAGTTGGTATAGCAACTGACTACGGGCTGGATGATCGACTGGTCGGAGT